AATGGATTAGCATGAGGTGGGCTTCCCCGGCGGTTCAGTGGTAAAAAATCTGCTTGGCAATGCGGGACACATGGATTTCATTCTTGGGTCAGGAAGATCCCCTGTAGAAGGGCATGGCAACCCACTCCAATATTCTTGCCTGGGAAATCCCATGGAGAGAGGAGCCTGGCAAGCTACAGTGGGGTCAGAAAAGAGTCAGCATGACTGATCAACTAAACAACAATAACAAAGATGCTATACTATACTGCTTCATTAAGCAATCTAGGGGGAGCGAGTGGGGGTGTTGGGTGGATTGTGGTGAGGTTAAAGAGGCAACCTGGGTGAGAATATGAAGGAAGCTGTTAGGCAGGTTAAAGAATTATGGCTCTCTTTGCTGGGCAATCCCTCCAGTATTCTCGCCTGGGAAATCTCATGGAGAGAGGAGCCTGGCAAGCTACAGTGGGGTTGGAAAAGAGTCAGCACGACTGATCAACTAAACAACAATAACAAATACACTAATCTATACTGCTTCCTTAAGCAATTGGGAGTGGGGATGGGGGTGTTGGGTGGATTCTGGTGAGGTTAAAGAGGCAACCTGGGTGAGAATATGAAGGAAGCTGTTAGGCAGGTTAAAGAATTATGGCTGTCTTTGCTGGGCAACCCACTCCAGTATTCTTGCCTGGAGAAGCCCCGTGGACAGAGGAGTCTGGTGGCTGCAGTCCATGGGGTCGCGAAGAGTCGGACACGACTGAGCGACTAAGTACAGCACAAATGAAGAAACGCTCCTAGTAAATAAGGGCTTCCCCGGTAGCTCAGCTGGTAAAGAAGCTGCCTGCAATGCGGGAGACCTGGGTTCTATTCCTGGATTAGAAGATCTGCTGGAGAAGGGAACGGCTACCCACTCCAGTATTCTGGCCTGGAGAATTCCACGGACAGAGGAGCCTGGCAGGCTACAGTCTGTGGGGTTGCAAAGAGTCAGACATGACTGAGCAACTTTCACTTGGAGATGATGGTGGGGGGGGGTGTCACTGTTTTCAACAGACCTGTGACCTGATAGAGTTAAATTTTTTAAAAAGAGTGCTCTGTTAATGGATTGGGAGATAGGAATTGACATGTATACACTACTATGTATAAGAGAGATAACTAAGGAGAACTGTCTGTGTAGCACAGAGATCTCTACTGAATGCTCTGTGGTGACCTAGATGGGAAGGAAATCCAAAAAAGAGGGGATATATGTATGCTGCTGCTGCTGCTGCTGCTGCTAAGTCACGTCAGTCGAGTCCGACTCTGTGCCCCCCAATAGACGGCAGCCCACCAGGCTCCCCCGTCCCTGGGATTTTCCAGGCGAGAACACTGGAGTGGGCTGCATTGCCTTTCCGGACTGTATGTATACACACAGCTGACTCACTCTGCCGTACGGCAGAAACTGGCACAACATTGCCAAGCAACTATCCACAGGGGTAAAGAAAGAAACGAGTCCTCTGTTGACAGCGAGGGTTTGAGCTGACCAGGGAGGCCTGGAGGTCGGGTCAGCAGGTGGCTGACCTGTGTAAGGATCCAGCTGAGAGCCTGATCGGGGTCACTGACAGTGGGGCCCGAGATGAGTTCAGGGCATGTCTAATCGGTATTGAGATGAGAGTTCAGGAAAGCACTGAGGATGACATTTGAGTTTCAAAGCTAGACTCCCGGGTTTTGTATTTAGAGATCCGGGACACTGGGGAGCAGTTTCAGCTCAGCCTAGAGGCAGTTTCTTACACGAGAGAAAGTTGCTTTTCTGTGGTTCCAGGCATGCCAACTGAGTGGCCTGAGACAGCCAAGTCACACTGTTTCTTTGCTTGTGAGACAGGCTATTCTTAGCTTTTGTGGGTTTATTGCTACAGTGACTAAAGAGGGGATGATCCTTTGCTTGCAAAGTCAATTCAGTCATGTCCGACTCTGCGAGCCTGTGGACTCCAGCCGGCCAGGCTCCTCTGCCCCTGGGATTTCCCAGGCAGAAATGCTGGAGTGGGTTGTCATTTCCTTCTCCCTTCCTGACCCAGGGATCGAACGTGCATCTCTTAAGTCTCCTGCGTTAGCAGGCAGGTTCTTTACCACTAGCACTACCTGAGAAGCCCATGATCCTATGAGGGTGAGTTAAATGGAAAAACTTTATAATGAGGAAGACTCGAGAAAGACAGAGTTGAGAAGGCTGAGATCTAAGAGGGAGTGTATCACACAGGGACATTTGAAAGTGGAAGCTTTCAGAGAGGCCCTTTTATCGTATCTGGTTTGTTGGTATGTTCTTGTTGTTCAGTTGCTCAGTTGTGTCTGACTCTTTGTGCTCCTGTGGACTGCAGCACACCAGGCTTCCCTGTCCTTCACCACCTCCTGGAGTTTGCTCAAACTCTTGTCCATTGACTCAATGATGGCATCCAACCATCTCATCCTCTGTTGTTCCGTTTTCCTCTTGCCCTCAGTCTTACCCAGCATCAGGGTCTTTTCTAATAAGTTGGCTCTTCGCATCAGGTGGCCAAAGTAATGGAGCTTTGGCTTCAGCTTCAGTCCTTCCAATAAATATTCAGGGTTGATTTCCTTTAGAACCGACTAGTTTGACTCTTTGCTGTCCAAGGGACTCTCAAGAGTCTTCTCCAGCACCACAGTTAGAAGGCATCAATTCTTCAGCACTTAGCCTTCTTTATGGTCCAGCTCTCACATCCATACATGACCACTGGAAAAACCATAGCTTTGACTAGACGGACCTTTGTTGGCAAAGTCATGTCTCTGCTTTTCAATATGCTGTCTAGGTTTGTCATAGCTTTTCTTACACTGGTTGGAAAAACAGATTTTGGTGTCTAGCACCTAAGAGCTCCAAACCTGGCTCTCCCACACACTTGGCTGTGTGACCTCAGGCAAGTTACTTAACCTCTCTGAACCTCAGGTGCCACATTGGGAAAGCAGAGACAAACATTACTTTGTCACAAGATTGTGAATATTACATGACAGTGTGTGTGATGTGCCCAGCACAGAGCCTGGCACACGAAAGGTGCTTAACAAAGGTGAATTTCCCCATCTGTCTGAGAAGAACTGAAAGATCTATTTGATTCTGTTGGTTTAGTAAAACAACAACAACAACAACAACAGCAACAACAACAAAACCTGGGGGTGGGGGTGGTGAATTCAGAGAGGAAAAATCACCCCCTCTATTTGGAATTCAGTCAAGGGAACCTGGTTGTCTGACTCGAGTCTTCTTTTTCCACCAGTTGTGTTGGTGTGGTCTCAGCATAGCCTTCGTCAGAGCCACTTGCTCGAATATCAAAAGAAGAGCCTCTGTGGAAATACAAGGCAGGATTGATACGGTGACTTTGGAAACATAAAATAGGGTGACATGAAATGGATTAAATCATGTTTCCCCCTCCCCCTCACGGTAATGACCCCAGGACTGAGGGGAGCGGCTCCAGCAGGAAGGAGAGGGAGCCATCGTTGTGGCCCACGTGCCCGCTTCATTTTGCAGTCACTCCTAGCCGCCCATCTGTTCGCGGCTGCCTGGCCCAGCCAGGGGGCTTATAAAACGGTATCCTCATCTATGGATGCCTTCACTCAGCTGCTGGGAGGGTGCGGGAGATCCACATCCAACACCAGGCGCTTTCTGCTACACCTTCATGCCTCTCCACTCTGTTTTCTCCTGTTTGCCTTTCAATGTCACTTATATATAGTTCTCAATTATTGTTATTTGTAACAGAGTGTAAAAGGGAAAGGATGCTGAAATTTATGGAATTCCTATTCTGTGCTTGGTACTCACTGGGCAATGTGTCTAGTATTGTCTAATTGTCTAATCATTCCCATCGGGTAGGCATGATGAAGAAACTTAGGCTCTGAGAAATTAAGTCACTTTCCCAAGTCCGTACACTAGGAGATGGTGGCTCTGGCGTAGGCTCTAGTCTCTCTCTGCAGATTTTACTCTTGGACTAATGATGAATAACAATTAGAATACCCTCACACACCCACCCACCCACACTCACACCCTATCATCACCACCACCAAGAGAGGCACACCCACACACAGACACACACACACCCATCCCCACTACCATCATGCCAACCAACACTTTCTAGGTTGTTGTCTCTCCTAACAGATGATCTCTTATTTTTAGTTTGAACTGAATAACTTCTTTGATGCTAAAGAATGAGCTCCCTCTAGTGGCAGAGTGTGGTTTGGCACAACCTCGCTTTCTTGGGGACTCAGGTAAATATAGAAAGACAGACACTTTTTTTTTTTTAAGACAGACACTTTCTTTCATGTAGTACAGTCTTGTCAAAAGACACATTATTGAGCCTTTCTTAATACAGTGTAAAGAAGGAATCCAGATCTGGGGAGATCCCCATTGCAAAGTTAATGCCAAGGGAATGATGACCTCTTTATCCCAGAGTAGCAAGAAGACAGCGGCTTTAGCGTTTTCACAGAGTACTGTGAGAGTTTTCACATAGTGTCTCAGAATCGTCACAACATCCCTGGGAGGCAGGCATTCCTACTTTACAGTTAAGTGAGCTAGGAGTCAGTGTTGTTAAGTGGCTTTTTCAAGGTTACACGGCTGGTCAGAAGAGAAGCCGTAATTCTAATTTGGGGTTTCTTGTACTCTTTAAGCTACACCAGGGAGGTTTTCCAGTACAGAATCAGTTGTGTATCACAGTGGGTTGTCTGTCAGGTGAGGGACAGTTAATCATGGTGATGGATATCAGGATTAAATGAGACAGATTAAATGATAACAGATGGTTATAATTCCCTGTCACTTGTCCCTCTCGCCCCTGGCCCATCCTCTGACTGTGCCAGAAAGATTAAAATAAAAAGCACAAATTCCACTGGGTCCTTGCTTGAAAACCCCCACGGCTCCCGTGACTCTCAGGACAGAGCCCGAAGCCTCAGGCTTGGCACTCACAGCCTTTGCCAATCAGAACTCTCCTTACCTCTCCAGGCAACTTCTCTTTTTGCACCATAACTTTCTGTCACATTAGGAAACTCACCTTTTTCATCTTTCCCGACAGATATCAGCCCCTGTTATATCCTGTGCCACCTTCTGCATCCGGAGTGTTTCTACTAACTTTCCTCTTCCAGGTGAGATAGCGCCTCTCTCTGAAGGACCGTGGAATCCCACGGATTACGCTCTGTGCTGCCTTCTCGGCTCTTCCCACACTTGAGACGTAATTTTGCTTTAAGTGCCTTTCTCTGTCTGTCTGTCTGTGCTTCCGTGTCTCAGTGGCTGCGTAGTTCACCTCTGTGTCCTTAGCACCTAGCAGAGCTCCTGGCGCGTGAGGAGTCGCCGAGACGTTTGCTGAGCAGCGACAGGAAAGGTTCAGAGTATTTCCTTTGGGAATTACGGGCAGACTCCAAGCCCGCTTGATGTGTAAATGGTGTTTAGGGCGCCTTGACAATTTGTCGTGAGCCTGCATTCAAATGCCTTTGGCCATGGTGTTAAATTCAGTGTAAAAATAAAAAAAAAGTACTAAATAATAATAATAAATAAAAATAAAAATAAAAAAAAAAATAAAAAAAAAGTAATAAAAAGTACTTTTAGGAGGAAAAAATGATGTAAATAAGACCACTTGGTTAGCTGTGGGGCTTTTTTCACCATACTTCTACAAATGCTTTTGAGCATGAGCGAGAGACGGGCGTTTGTGGCTGCTTCAGGGAGTCAGCCTTGACAGGTCTGGGCTCTAAGAGCCCTGCTGCGGTTGAGCCGGTCACCACCAGAGGGCGCTGGCGGCGAGGGTGTGCCATCCCCTTCACGGGCTACCGCTGTCCCTCCAGGAACCCTTGGAGATCTGACCCAGCTGTTTCCTAGCCCACCTTCCCTGAGTTAAGTTTTGAACTATTTTAATGATCATCTATAAGATATTATGATTAAACAAATTAAGCCAGAGTCTTCGACGCCTTCTAAGCCAGAGTCTTTGACCCCCTCTAAGCCATAAAGAAAGTTGAGCGCTGAAGAATTAATGCTTTTGAACTGTGGTGTTGGAGAAGACTCTTGAGAGTCCCTTGGACTGCAAGGAGATCCAACCAGCCAATCCTAAAGGAAATCAGTCCTTAATATTCATTGGAAGGACTGATGCTGAAGTTGGAGCTCCAATACGTGGACCACCTGTTGTGAAGAACTGACTCTTTGGAAAAGATCCTGATGCTGGAAAGATTGAAGGCGGGAGGAGAAGGGGATGACAGAGGATGAGATGGACTCAATGGACATGAGTTTGAGCAAGCTCTGGAGTTGGTGATGGACAGGGAAACCTCGCATGCTGCAGTCCATGGGGTCGCAAAGAGTCGGACACGACTGAGCTGCTGAACTGAACTGAACTGAAATGCTTCTGTGGCATCCTTGACCAATGATCTTTCAGTATCTGCTTGAAGCTAGTGGCCTTACTGCTCTGGAGACAGGCCATCAGTTGTTATTACAAACACTTCCCTTAAATATTGATCTAAACTCTGCCTCCTTTAATATCCCGCTTGCTAGTTGCTGGGTATGGGAAGCACAAAATCCTCTTTTCTTCCCTCCAAAAAAATATTTTCCCCTGTCAGCAGCTTTTGAACCCATCTTGCTCAGAGGCTTTGCTGGTGGCTGCCCATGAGCAGTCTCCTCGCGGGCTTGGAGGTCTGCCTGAATGTGGGCTGCGCACAGCTGTCACTGTGAGTATGAAATGCAAAAGAGCGTCTGCCGGCTGCCCGCCAGCATGATGTGTCCTCAGCTTCCTCTGGTGGGAGACGGTCAAGGCTGGAAAAGAAGTATTTATTACACACTATGATAACAGGAATTAAAAACCATCCATGCTCCTTCAATCATAAAAATCAGTGGTTTCATTTGCTGGGTTTGCTGCCAACGCCTGTCCATATGCAGAGCTCGTTTTTATAGTTACACCGATAAGGTGGATATTTCATGTGCTTTTGTCTGCCCAACGAATCCGATTTTTCCTGTCATTTGAAAGTGACTGGAATTATTTCAAAGGCTGTAGGACAGGTCTATGAGGGGAAGCACGATGACTGACTCATCTATGGCCTGCTGTGGGACAGGCAGGTGTTCCCAAGTGATCGTGGATTGAGGGTAACTGGGTGCCATTCCCTTCCATGCCCACAGGCCAACAGTGGCTGCCAGGGACCTGGCCCAGACTGAGTCATCCCAGTCTGCGAACGGTGGTCCATGGGGTCTGCAAGGAGTCCTGCTGCCTTCAGCCTGCTGCCCATGAAGCCTGAGGAGGGCTCTGGTTCGTTCATGCCCACAAAACCCCCACCGCCTGGCTCTATCTTTGCCTGGGCCTCTGTACTGGTTTCCAGTCCCCTCACAGGGAGCCCAGCCCAGCCCTTGTGGTCACATGTGTTCTCACTGACACTGCTGTGCTGGACGCTGGGGTGACTGTTCAGATCCCTCTCAGGGATCTGCCAGGAGTGTCAGCTTCAGACCCCTCTCTGGCGTCGCCTCCACTGTAGACCCTGCCTCGCCAAAGTGCTGGCCCCTTCCTTGGCCGCCTCCATGATAGAGCAGGGATATATAGGCCTTGCCGGCTCCCTGCAACCCCGGCAGCTGTGAAGGGCCATCCCTGCCTCGGTGCAGAGGCCTCCGTTGAGGCTCCATCACAGCCCAGCTCCTCCCTCTCCCCAGTTCTGCCCCTTTCCCTCCCCTTCCTTCCATGGGTGGTGATCTCCAGATCAGTTCAGTTCAGTCGCTCAGTTGTGTCCGACTCTTTGCAACCCCATGAACCACAGCACGCCAGGCCTCCCTGTCCATCTCCAACTCCCAGAGTCCATCCAAACCCATGTCCATTGAGTCGGTGATGCCATCCAACCATCTCATCCTCTGTTGACCCCTTCTCCTCCTGCCTTCAAGCTTTCCCAGCATCAGGGTCTTTTCAAATGAGTCAGCTCTTTGCATGAGGTGGCCAGAGTATTGGAGTTTCAGCTTCAAGATCAGCCCTTCCAATGAACACCCAGGACTGATTTCCTTTGGTTGGATTTCCTTGCAGTCCAAGGGACTCTCAAGAGTCTTCTCCAACACCACAGTTCAAAAGCATCAGTTCTTCAGCACTCAGCTTTCATCACAGTCCAACTCTCACATCCATACATGACCACTGGAAAAACTATAGCCTTCACTAGACAGACATTTGTTGGCAAAGTAATGTCTCTGCTTTTTTAATACGCTGTCTAGGTTGGTCATAACTTTCCTTCCAAGAAGTAAGCGTCTTTTAATTTCATGGCTGCAATCACCATCTGCAGTGATTTTGGAGCCCAGAAAAATAAAGTCAGCCACTGTTTCCACTGTTTCCCTATCCATTTGCCATGAAGTGATGGGACCAGATGCCACGATCTTAGTTTTTTGAATGTTGAACTTTAAGCCAACTTTTTCACTCTCCTCTTTCACTTTAATCAAGAGGCTCTTTAGTTCTTCTTCACTTTCCTCCATAATCACACCTGAGTAAACCTTTATGTATTCTTCAGAGGTGAAAAGTGAGGCTTAGAGCGGCCACAGCTTTTCCAAAATCAGATTTCATGATCTCTTTAATATAGTGCAGGTAAGTAAGTCTATTTGCCCCTCACTTTTTTGGTATTTGGGGACACTGTGTAAATATGGAGACTGTTGCAGCTCCCCAGAAAAGATAAGACCAAGTAGAAACAAATGCAAGAAGAACAGGATCAGACTGTGAGGGGATGTGGTGGACGGTATGCAGCCGGCTCCCCTCCTCCTGCATTCTCCCCTTCTTGATTTTCTCATGCAGGCTCCAGGGCGAGGAGACACCCTGGACAGTGATCAGAGACCAGAGGTACGCCTCAGCGAGAGAGTGACAGGCCCAGGAAGTCAGGGGGTGGCGGTTCCAAACTCACTGTGTGCTTCGACCCTGTGGTGTGCATTTGGATTGTGGCCTTTAAAATCCCAGTGCCTGTGGGAGTCTGTGGCCACCCGGTTTTCCCCAGGTGGGTTTGAATCCATTCCTGCCTCACAGGATGCACTGATGCCCTCAACATGTGCTGTCTCCTCTCTGCCCACAACCCATCCAGGCTGAACCAAGACAAGGGCATTCCTGGCAGGAACGGTGGGGGAGGATGGACTCAGCATTGCATCAGCCTCTTTGCAACGGGGATGCAAAGGCATCCAGCACAGGTCCCTGTGACCCCGGCTATTGCCTGAAATGTGCCCCTTCCCCCTGCCTCCCCTTCTTGTATCAGGACACCCACTTCTGGCAGTGATTTTACTATATCTGAGTTCCTCTAAATCTTGATGGATTCCGTATGATTGGCCTGTGTTCTAGTTTTCCTGCTGAGTTCCTGTGTGGCAGAGGCAGACTCCCTTCTTTAAGGCTGCTTCCTGTTTCCTGACTCCAGTCCTCTTAGCCTGACCCCCAGTGCCAGTGGTGGGCCCACCTTCTGGTTGAGCACTGTCCATTTTTTGTTTATGATTAATACCCCAGAATCCAGCCTTATGCCTGGCACATAATAGGAGCTGAATACATATTTTTTAAATAAATAAATTTTAAACATTTAAGGGAAAGAATGGGGTTCCCCAGGTGTTTCAGTGGTTAAAAAAAACCTGCCTGTAATGCAGGAGATGCTAATTTGATCCCTGGGTCATGAAGATCCCCTGGAGAAGGAAATGCAGCCCATTCCAGTATTCTTGCCTGGGAAACCCCATGGACAGAGGAGCCTGCTGGGCTGCAGTCCGTGGGGTCACAAAAGAGTTGGACACGACTTAGCAATTAAACAGCAAGAACAAGGTAAAGAATGCTGCCGGAATGGATGGTGATCAGTTATTTGTTTTCAAAGCCAGGATGATATAAAATGTTTGCATTGTTTTTCATCAAAACCTAACCTGTTAGAGAAATTTAAGACTGATCTCCTTAGATTTTAAGAGGTGCCAGAGGACTTAATTTAACATGCTGCAACTCTTCAGATTTCAGAGCAGTTACCTTGGATGCTTTTGCTGTATAATCCTAAATCCTGTTCACAATTCTGCCGTTTGGATTTGGTGTGTATTCTTGTCCACTTGGGGATAAACTGCCTTTTTAATAATTCTTTGATAAAATGACTCCAGCCATCTTTGCTGTTCGAAACCCAAATGCACGCAGATATTTATTTATAAACACACCATCTCATGTGGTGTGAAGGGATTCAGGTACTCTTTGGAGGTACTTCCACTCTAAGAATTCACTTTTTGAAAATGAAACTTTGTGGTTGTTCCCTGTGGGGAAATTTTTTTAAAATTTTATTTATTTTTAATTGAAAGATAACTGCCTTACAGAATTGTGTTGGTTTGTTCCCTGTGGAGAGACCAGCCATTTGACTAAGAAAGGGTAAGGA